CTGTACCTCTGAAACAAATAACACATTATATGTTAATAAAAAAAATTCTAAAAAAAGAATAGAATCATCACACGGGAGCTCCCATGTCCTCCCACGATGAGTTCAACACACCTTTCGGCGTTCTGCCATCTGGATGCAGTCCTCTGCACCTCACAGGTACCCGCCTACCCTCCATCTCACTTGATCGAGTCTCCCTCTCCCTCCGGCCCCAGCCTCCAGCCAAGATCTTCACCAACTCCCTCTTTTTAAATCACTCCCAATGGCATACAGGCTTATTTTTATGTCTCCCATCTTTAAAATAAAACTCTCCTTTGGCCCTAAGTACCCCTTCAGCTACTGCGCCATTTGTCTGCTCCATTCACTTCCAAACTTGGGAAGAGTCTACTCAGGTTGTGTCTAAAGCCCGTCCCCCCGATGGCCACCCCCTTCTCCCATCTGCTCCCACCCGGCTGTGGTCCCATGGCACCACTGACACTGAAACGGCTCTTCTCATGGCCTGCAAGGACCTCCCTGGCATGTGCCAAAGCCAGCGGACACTGCGTTGTACCCTCTGATCTGAATGCTCAGAGTGTTCCACTCTGTGGGCACCGCTCCTTCTCCAAGCACTCTCTGCTCTTGGTTCTGCAACATCCCATGACCTGGCTTCCTTCCTGCTCCTCTGGCCACGGATAAACCAGAACCTTGCCATGTGCTCTCTCTGACTCCTGGGCTGGCTTGTAGAACCTTTTCTGTGTCCTCGGCAGACTCCCCTTACATAGTCTCATCTGCTGCTGTGAATTTCAAGACAACTAATAGACTGATCGGTGATAAATATGTCATCTCCAGCCTGGGTTGCTGACCATGACATTCGTCCACTGCTTTCTACTCAACATCTCCCCCTTAGTATCTTCCAGGCATCTCCATTCGTCGCACATTCAAAGAGGAACCCTTGATTTTTCTCCCCAAACCTGTTGCTCCCTCAGTTTCCTCAACCCTGTAAATGGCCAGATATCTGGGAGATCGTCTTGATTCCTTCCTTTTCCTCACTTGCTACATTCAGTCCATCCTCAAGCCTGGTGGATTCTACCAAAATACATTTTGAATCCATCCGTATCTGTCTGTCTTTACTACCACCACTCTCATCTCCTGCCTGGAATACTACGATTCCTTCCTAAAGATCTTCCTGCTCCCTCCAGCCCTCCCCCTCCCAACTGATTCCCTACGGCTGAGTCAGAAATAGTGTTATAAAATGTAAACTACATCCTCTTGTTGCCTTCCCACTAAACTTTGAATAACATACGAACAACATGGTTTGCCCCCTGCCAACTGTATCTTCTACCCCCGTCCTCCTTCCTCACTCATCTCCTGCCACAATGGGCTGCCTTCTGATTGCCAGAACTCACTAAGCCCTGTCCTGTACATGCTGTTCCATCTGCCTAGAATGAATGCTCTTTCCTTGTTCTTCACATGGCTGGCTCCTTTATTCTTGATGCCTAAACATTACTCCTCAGGGAGATCTTCCTTGACCTCATTCCTTATCTCAGGCCCTGTTTGTTTTCTTCACAACACTTCACATTTTGTAATTACTTCCTTGTGTACATCCTCATCTCCCCCTTTCAACTCCCTGAGTCCAGAAGCTCCGTATTTGTTTTGCTCACAGATGAACCCAGCAACTGGCATAGTCCCTGGCAAATACTAGGTTTTTAGTATGTGAGTGTTGAATAAGTGAATGAAGGTACAGAAAGAGCCACAACCGCCATTTCATCTTAACTGCTCTTGTCAAAGCCTCAGTGCCGACCAGCCACTCAACTGTCCAGTGCTCATCTTACTGATTGCAGAATAGAGACAGGGCAGGGGGTCGGGGGGCTCGGGTTCCATTTATTCTCTGTTAACCTCACCAGCAGTTACCAGCATGTTTGATTGACCACAATAACCCCAGCATCTAGCGCAGCATCTAGACACTTAATAAATACTGCTGATGGAATGGACTCCTTAGCTCTGAATGAAACAGGGTGTGAAGGGAAGGGGGCTGGTGTGACCATGGAGGGGTCCAAACAGAGCGAGTGCTTCTGGGAAGAGGTTTAAATAATGGCTCTCTACTTCCAGAAATGTTCTACTTCCATAGGCACTCATTTCCAGTTGTATGATAAAAGGAAAATGTTTCATAGAACTTTTCTGTATCTCATTAGCTTTATTAAGGGAAAAGGAACTTGTAGTTTTAGTTGCGGAGGAATAGCCTGATATTTGGGAGTCTTTCTCCAAGAAAGAAAAATATTTTTCTTAAAAGCCAAATTCTACCTCTGTTGAGTAGATAATGGTGAGGAAAAGCATTCCTATCTTCCAAACAAAGAAACCAAGGGCAATTTAAAAGCCAAGTAAGCAAGGAAGCCAAGTCCCTAACCCTGGCTGTCTCACTCTATATCCTGTCACCTACCAATTTAGATAGTGCTTGCTCGTGAGAAATAAGAATACATCCACCTCAACTCAACTTTGAGACAAGGATTTGATTTTTCTGAAGGACATGTACCCTACAGGTATTAGTAGGACACAGAGAAGTCTGAGGCCTGCAACCCCTTGAAAATGTCAAATGACCCGGCATCTTGGGTATTTGACCTGATTTGTGGAAGAAATCCAGCCATGCCTTTGACTTTTCACGCCACTGAACTTGAGGCTCTCCATGCTCTCTGGTTTTGTATCACATCTAGCTGGTGCCAAGAGGATTAGCTCAACTCCAGCTCTCCGTGGAAAGGATTCATTCTCCTGTTTAGGCAATGTGATGTCAAGCTGAAAGAAGCTGATGAGCAAACTCCATGGGGCCATAAAGCAGCCCCTGATGAAGTGCATTACATGGATGTCTCAGAATAAAGTTTAGTTCGAAGTGGTCAAGGACAGGGTGTGCCATTGTGGGCTGGGAGCCACTGTGGCTCAGCTGTTTGTGCAGCATTTAATATGTTTATCTTTCTGCTAAACATATTGTTGTTGAGTCATCTCTATTACACAGACACCCTGTGTGAGGCCCAGCTCTGCAAATCCAACACACAAAGAGAGGCCTTCTATCATCAGTGACCTTACGTTCTACAAAGTCAAAATCAATGCTTCCTCTTACTTCTCACTTTAGTAAGGTACCCAAGCTTTGAGAAAGGTTAATCATGTGTTCTTTTACAGGGCAGCAACCATGAAGTAATAAAAGTAAAGGAAGAACTTAAAGTTGTCACTATGTCTTTAGTATCATTTAGTAGTAGTGCTGCAAACTGAAAATGGAAAGTCAGTTTACCCAAAAGTACCAGCAGCCTCCAAACTATCAATATTTCATGTTAGACTATTATGTAGTCACCAATGTCAAAGTAATTATATTAATAAGACAAATAATTGCATTAAACTTCTAAGCTCTGGGCAGGGAAAAAAAAAGATCACATAACTCTGAAAAGTAGAGAAACTAATTAAATACTGTTTGGCCTTCTATAGAAATTGTTCGAGCCATGACACATGTGATAAACCAAGGAATGGCGATGTATTGGGGGACCTCGCGGTGGAGTGCTATGGAGATCATGGTAATTTCATTTCTGTTCTCAAATGGCCGTTAAATACTTTATTATTGTTTTTCAGATACTATGTGTAAATTATAAGACCTTTTGCAAACTTTCCTAATAATCACCATGACACTAGAATGCTATGATCAATTCTGTCATTCCAGAGATAGATACGGGGGCTGGATCTCATCAGCTCAGAATACAACAGGGAAGGTGCAGGTCTCTAGCAGGAATCATATTCTTGCATGTTCTTCGGTGACAAGAGGATACAATGAATTTCCCAGCTAATGAGATACATGAACAAAATAGTCTGGCTTCCTTTTTTAAAAACTGTATTAAATAACTATACTGTTTATAACACGCTAATGACACATCATTTGTATATGTTAGTCTGAGTTTTATTTCTTTAGGAACCAAAATTATGGATATTGTCATGGGCTATTATGGTTCTCATGTTGACTAATTTGCCCTGGACTTTACTCAATCCAGACCCTCCCAAAGAATAATAAGGATTTCCTGCATTTGATATTTCTCTTAGTGAGATTGATGGTCACAACTTTGCTTATTATTTGCCATCCTACATGTTTCTTGGTTTGTACTGATTTCATTGAAACGAAGTTTTCTCATGCATATGAATCATAGAGCAGCCTTATTTCTCATGAGTATAAATTCAGTTACAATCTTATTTCTCCCTAGGAAGCCTATTCTGTAGCAAGGCAGTTCAATATGATCCCACCGGTCTGTGAACAAGCTGAGTACCATCTTTTTCAGAGAGAGAAAGTGGAGGTTCAGCTACCAGAGCTCTACCATAAAATAGGTAATCTTCACAATCAAATTTACTCATTATTTTTAACAATAGGAGTATCAGTGATCCAGAAAAAAGTGTTACCAAAATGCTTTCCTTAATGTTCCTAACTAACATAGAGATTGTGAGAACTATCCATTTCTGACTACAGAATAATCAAATGTGCCTACAGGGTAGTCTGTAGGGTATTACTGATGAAATCCAAGCAGTTGTAAATTGTGACTGGTGTACAAGCTGTCCTCAGGAGGTGTTCAAAAATGCGTGTAGAAAGAAGGGTAGAAACAATGAGTAAACTCATTTTTTCTGTAGGGTGCTTCTCTAACCAAAGCATGCGTCTTTGAGTAGATTATAACTGCCTTTCCAAAAACAATTATGGATCTATACATCTATATCTTCTACTCTGTGCCTGGAACTAAGTTAGACATGGGGAGTTTAAGACTGCCTGACAGGCCTAGCACTACGTGTCTGTGTAGGTAGATGTAATAATTTCAAAGAAAGGAAAGAAATGTATGTATGTATATGTGTATATATATATATGCACACACACACATATATATACACACAAACATATATATGTGTGTGTGTGTGTGTATATATATTCTTATGTATATAACATATACATAAGAATTTTGGACATACAAAAAACATGAATAAGCCACATTTTCAGCCTCATGTATCACAACAGTGTCCAGAGATAACTTTCTTCCTAAAAAATAGAGGTTCCTAAGAAGTAGAGCAGGAAAATGCTGAGTAAGGAGAAAAAAGATTACAAAAGCCAACAGCAGTAACACTCATAATTGCTGGCGCTGGCTATATGTTTCCTCTGTGGTAGGCACGGTGCCGCTATGGACCAAGCTCTAAATAGGCACTCGGGACGAGTGGAACACTGGAGCATTCGCCTGTGCAAGTCAGTGTTTGTCTCTGAGTATAAAAAGAAACATCCATTTTGGACATCAGCAAATTAAGAGTGAGCCACATTTTTAGGCTTGTTTGGCTTGAAAACAAGGCCCGCTCCGTATAACTGACAGTACATGTTCAATTGATTCATAAAAATGAAGCACAACCTATAAATAACTCAATTTTAGGGGCGCCTGGGTGGCTCAGTCGGTTAAGCGTCTGTCTTCGGCTCGGGTCATGATCCCAGGGTCCTGGGATGGAGCAGGGTCCCTGCTCAGCGGGGAGCCTGCTTCTCCCTCTGCCCCTCCCCACCACTCGTGATTTCTCTTTTCTCTCTGTCTCTCAAATAAATAAACTGTTTTTTAAATTAAATAAATATTAATGGAAAGACATCTGCTGGTATTAACTTACTTATCTGACTAGCCGTTTTCCTGTAACTAACCAAGTCCTGTTTTAAACACTCCCACACTTTTAATCTCCCTTTGCACAAGCAACTTACTCAGTTTTTTTCTTCTGTAGGAGTTGGAGCAATGACATGGTCTCCACTTGCCTGTGGAATCATCTCAGGAAAATATGGAAATGGAGTGCCTGAGAGTTCTAGGGCTTCACTGAAGGTATTTTCCGCCACTTCTAGAAATGCGTCTGGGGATGGGAGAGAGGGACGGAAGAAGACTGAACAGGACAGCTCCGCAGCAGCCTGTGCTTCCTGGCTCAGGCAGAGCGCGGCTTGGCCAGTGTCCTCAGGCAGGCTCCCTCAAGCCCCCAGGAGACCTCTGCTCCGGGCCGGCATCAGTCAGCAGCCATGTCTGTCCGCACAGAAAATTCTCCTCCTCTGGGGACTGGGGGGAAATGCCCAGTGCCCTGGTTAGGTTTATAGGGCTCAAATCCCTACTGTTATTTATTCTTATGTTAAAGAAGGCATTTCATCCCTCCCTGGAAATTGATGAAATGTAAAATCCCTTTTCTTTATGAGAGGATCTATTTTTACTTTTCTTGACAAAACAATTGGGGTAAACCAACTGTAGCTGAGTGGGGCTCGAGGTGGATTGATGTTGTTTACTGTGTGGGGGTGTGGGGTAAGAGGGAGGGTTCGGGAAGCAAGATACATAGCCAGGCAAGCCTGTCACCCGGGCTCAAGGCTGGTGTTTTTCACAGAGATCAACTGGCCACGTAGTCTTACAGTTTAAATTCTTCTCTGAAGCATAAAGATATTTGACATCACTGACATAAAATAACTTCCATTCAGAACATCTTGATGATTAATTTATTTGAGAGTACTCCAGACAGCCCTCATTAACAACCTGTTTTTAAAAACTTGAGACAATGTGTAATAACATTAGAATCACAAATGGTAATGTCAAGGGAGAGAGAATATTGGCATTTTTAAAATTCAGACATGGCAGAGGCCCCTAAGAAGTAGAAGTTTGACACAGCCTCTTGCTTCCATAAGCACAAAGTTAGCTGGAGGACAGCCCAAGTTAGGCCCAAACCACCAACCCTGTAATCAACTTGCTGGGACGACTGCATGCTTCGCTAATCAGAACAGTCTCAAGGCTCTAGGTCTCCCACTCTTTCTGCTTGTTACAGTTGACCTATTAGTTTGTTGTCTAAAATAATATAAATATCTCCTAAAGCATGGTGACATGCCTATTTCTAGCTTGGCATTATCACAAAATATAATTATCTTAGAATATTAATTGTGGTCTTGCTTCTGAAAATTGTGCATTGTTCTGAACCCAGTTTAAATAAGTTAGCAAGGAAAAACTAAAAGCATCTTAGGGAAGAAGGTATGAACGGAGAAAGGCAAAAAGAGCAAAGAAGAAAGGGAAGCACTGAAAATTGCGATTTTACTGAGCATCTACTCCGTGCCAAGCATTGGGCTAAGCATTTTTATTCATCTCCTTTAATCCACACAAAGATAAATGGATACAGATGACTCTTAATCAGGTGTAGCTAAGCATGTTGCCTTACATTCTTTCAGAGACTTTTTTTTTTAAGACTATTTATTTGAGAGAGGGTGAGAGAGAGAGCGTGCATGCACACACAAGCGCAAGCACACAGAAGAGGCAGAAGCAGACTCCCTGCTGAGGAGGGAACCTGATGTGGGACTCGATCCTAGGACCCCCGAGATCATGACCTGAGCTGAAGGCAGACACTTAACTGACTGAGCCACCCAGGCGCCCCCGTCAGAGATGTTTTTAAAAACTCAAAGTACTTCCACATGTGCTGAGTAGTGACTATCCTTATAAGAGGGTAAACCTTTCCAGATGTAGAAACTGAGCACAAAGAGGTCAGATAATAATCCAAGAGCATAAACTCATAATAGAGAGAGTTTATACTAGAACTCAGGTTTCCTGGCTCTGTTTATCTCCCCCGAAGACATTTTTGTCTCCCTGCAAACCCAGGTTTCTAATGGAGGAAGAAGTAGCTGTACTGTATTTGGAGTGTAAGATTGGCTGACCTCCATCATTATTTGGAAAAAGCTTACAAACAGCTAAAAAAAAAAAAAATTTCACAAATGCATTAACAAAAAGAGAAAGAAAAAAAATAATAATAAAATAAGGAGATACAAAATACTTGAAGGTGGCTAAGTCCAAAAGCAACTCAGAAAAATATTTCTATTGTTGACTTTGATAAAGTCAACATCTATTGAAACATCCTTAACAATAAACATGAAGGGTTCTCAACAGGTTAAAGGCCTCTTTCTGATCACAAAGCAGCTTCTTTAGAGCTCCACAGACTCTCAAGCCTTCCTAAATCATTAGCCCCCAGTGTTTTCCATACTAATATATGTGCACTTAGAAATGCCACTTATGGGGCGCCTGGCTGGCTCAGTTAGTAGAGGATGCAGCTCTTGGTCTCAAAGTCGTGAGTTCGAGCCCTATACTGGGCATGGAGTCAACTTAAAATGAAAAATAAAATTGCTTTAAAAAAAAGGGGAAACTTGAATAGAGTAACTGAAACAAACAAACAAAAAATTAAAGATCGAATGCTAGGCAAGAAGATAAATAAGTTAGCAGCTTTTACCTACCCCTACCCCAAACAGAATAAATGGCTGGTGTTTCACATTAGCTATTCTAAGTTATACCAATAAAACAGACACTGACATTTCATGCTGTTGTAAGTACTGAACTTGTATTTGAAAGATAACGCAGTGTGAAAAATACCTATCTGGTGGGGGTCTTTTAGAAAGTAACACAACCTGGGGGTTTTCTGGAAGGCTGCATCTGGTCCGCTGCTCTAACAGTGACTTCTAAAATCTTTTGTCACCACCTTGTCTTCACTGCTCAGCTGTACACTACTACTTCCTCACATGGCTGTTAGACATCTCCCGTGGGCATTAGTCATGCCTAGTGGAATCTGTCATCACCCCCCAGAACTTACCGTTCCTTCATGGTTAACCGTGCCTCCACCCTCCATCTGGTCATCCCAGTCAGAAGCCAAGGGTTATGTCAGACTGCCTCCTCTCCTCCCTCACTCTTGTCCAGTGGGGCCCCCACTCCTCCAGGCCACTTCCTGACCGTGGCCCTTCCCTGCACAGCCCTTGTTCAGTTCAGACCATCATCATTTCTTCCCTGTTTTGCTGCAGTAACCTCCTGTCTGCATTCCCTAATTTTTTTTCCCCTTTTGTCAACTACCCATCACTGCAACCAATTATCTTTCTGAAAGACTAATCTGACCATATCATAACCCTGCTTAAAGTCTGTTACTCACTTCCCAGTCATTGCTTATAGGACAAAACCCAAAACCCACAGAAAAGCATTCAAGGAAATACCCTTGGGATCTAAGTTGTGCCCACTTTTCCGTTCTTGTCTTTCCCCATGTTACATCACTGTATTGTTCATCCAAAAGCCCTGTACTCTCCTTTGCCTCCCAGAAATGCCCTTCTTTTCATCTTGTGATGGAAGCCCTCATTACTAAAGACAAAGCTTGGCTATCTTCACCTCTATGAAGCCTGTCCTCACTATAAAACTGAATTATTTGCAGCTTCCTCTATTATTCCATTAACACTTCTTACAGAGTCTTAGAATTCTCCTGTTGCAAGCAAAAGAATTTAACTCAACTAATTTAATCAAAGAAGGGGAACATATAAATACTTGCTGGGAAGGATGGAATGGAGATGGTCTCAGGGTTGACTCCAACCATAGACTTGTACATTGTTAGGACTCTCCATCTCCTCTATTTCTCTCTGAATGTGGATGTTGTCTTCTACTGCAAACGGGTCCTCTCCATGAGGTCAGGAGTGGGAAAACTGCTTTGCAGGTTTACATCCTTACAGACATGTAATGTGAGAGAATAGACAGCTATCTTTCCTTATGACTTCAGTCCAGGGAAGACTGGCCAAACTTGGGTCATGTGCCAACTTGTAAGACCAATGACAGTGACCCAAACAGTAAAGTGCTATGACCACTCCTGTCATGCACCATCAGGAGAGGCATTTTCCATAAGGAGGCAGTACAAACACGGCTTCTGAGGGAGGCACCCCAACTACAAAACACTCCTCAAGCTACCAGACGGTGATTTGTGAATGTCTCTAGGACAGACACTGAAACTCAGGTAGCTCATCACAGAGCCTGGCACATGACAGGTACTCAATAAATGTTTGTTGAATGGGTGAAATGAGCCATAACGGAAGATCAACAAAGTCTGATCAACGGACCAGGTGTGTGGCTTTTAAATAGACATTTTAAATAGAAATGAAAAGTGTAATAAAATTTATGGGCAGCTCTTTCTTGTTGCTAGCAAAATGCCTTATAGAAAAATCATAAAAATATCTACCCCCTCTGTCAAATGAAAACAGGACGATGCAAACTTAGGTGAATCAAGGTAGGGGAATAGTGGCAATTCGAGTACTCCAGGTGTTCACTTTAAGCAACTAAAAGTATTGCACATCACGGTGTAGTTTCAGAAGGAAATTTTTTAGCTTCAGCAGTTTACCTAGAGATTTCAACCTCGATATCAAAAGACTGTGCTGCTCTTTTGAGCCAAAGATTTTGAAGTTTAAATTATAAGAGTCAGTGATCTTGGATGCTAAATTATTCCAAGACAAAGTCCAGAGATGAAATGTGACTTACTCTGTCCATGGCTTTATAGATGCTGCCTGAGTTTCAATCCATTATTAGCAACCAGCCAACTGGAGGCTTCAGGGCCAGTCCCGCAGACTGCTCCCACCCCCAGCATTACCTGTTCAGTGGTCACAGCACTGGGAGATGGCAAATAAATAGGCTTTAGGAAAAATTAGAGAATTTTGTGACTTCTGTATAAAACCAATAGCCCCCTAATCTGTGCGGAAAAGCTCATGTTTTCTTTGGCAAATACTTACTGAGTATCTAGTCAGTGCTGGGCTCTGTGTTGAGTGCTTAGGATACAGGGAAGAAGGCGACAGTCCCCACCTTCAGGGGGTAACTTGGGGACTTATTAGATATGTGAAGGGGTGGATTATGAAACAGTGTGGAATCCACAAGCACTGCAGAGTCACACAGGACTATCCGCAAAGTTGTACTGGAATAAAGAGGGGGTGTCTGTGCTCATCGGAAACATTGAAGAGATCTATTTTTTACCCTGTGGAGCCCTGGTTGCTCAGATTCCTCCCTCACGGTCATACTGGTGGAGCCCCTGCTCTGTGGCAAGCACTGTGTCAGGACCGGAGATGTTGAGATGAACAAGAAGCCTGTCCCTGCCCTCCTCCATTTAGTTAGAAAGAAAGATCAACACGTGAGCAAGTCACTGCAGCAATGGGGTAAGCAGTATAATAGGGTTGGAAGGGAAAAAATCAGCTTTGACTCATGGAGGACTGCCCAGTCAACAAGCTGGGTGTATTGTCGCACACAACCACACCCACCACCAATCTTCTTACAAAAAACACTGGTTCGCTTCCATATTTATATTTTAATTAAGCCTCATCTCCTCTCTATGCTAACATTTCCCACTTGCAAAGCAGTTAAAGCTATTTATTTCCAAAAACACTTTTGTTTCCTTTGGTATGAGGAAAAGCAGTATAAATACTATGTGTCTACTTTTTATAAACCTTAGCCTGCTTATGTTTTCCAATGATTAAAGCAACAAGATTTATAGTGTTGAGTGTAGGGAGAGAGTGACTCAATAAATGAATGTCTGATGTTTGTTACTTTTAGAAGTCTGTCTCTCAGTATGTTGTGTGTGCGCGTGTGTGTAAATGTACACACACATACACACAAACTTGTAACTCGACCCTAAGCGTACAAATGCACTCCACATGATAAGGTTTCAAAAATGGAGTTCTATAAGTGATTGATAAAACAACCATTCCTTATGTGTGTGGTATATATTGAAACTTCAAGAACGCTCCTAGTTACAATGAAAAGCAATCATTCAGCGATTGGTTTTCAACCCTTTTATTTTTTCCTTTGAAGAATGCTCAGGGCTACCGGTCCCCTGAAAGGTGTTATGAAACTAAAGTGAGGGCTGGTAATGTTTCTCCACTAGGACAGGGGAAGTTAAGTTCAGGGGCGCTCTGACCCAGCACACTCTCTACCCAGCACACAGGTCTGGTCAGAGAAGGCTCCTGGGCCCTGATGGCAGTGTTCATTGTCTCAAGGCCCAACTCATTACCCCTAGCACCAGCTGTCGTCTTTGGAAAGGTGCTCCAGGCTACCGTTCCTCCTGGAAGAAGCTGAGGTTTCCCAGAGCTGAAGCTGGGAAGACTCTTGGCCATCTCCCTAAGCAAACTCTCAAGTGAGGAGCCAGACCATACGCCTTTGAGATCTAGAAAGCAAACAGAACTGGGGCAGCTTGCCCTTTCTCTTTTTCACATCTGCAAAATCATTTCAAAAATCATAATAAAACGTAATGTGGTTACCCTTTTTCTTTGGAAATACTGTCTTAGAATGAAGAAAAAAGTACTTAAAAAACAAAAGCAAGCAGCCTTATTGAAATGATGTGGGTGGAATGTCTGTGATGATTTGCTGCCTTTGGGAAGGTAAAGGTCTGCAGTGACAATTATTTCGCAAACACAGCGGATAAAGTCCACATTGCCACACAGGAGGATGTTTTCTATTATTTTCACTAAAACACATTCTTACAAATATTTGTTACTTTTGGATGTTGCTGCTTAGTGTTTTGTAGAGAACATCCTACTGTCCCTCATTTCTTAATAAGAGCAGAACCTTTGGGGAAGCAAGGCATTGAGAAGTTCTAAAAGATTTGTCTCCTTCTATTTAGGAAGTTAGCTCACTTTATAGGCTACCAATCAGAGTCAGTCTCTTCTCAGAGGTTTTACAGAGTTTCCTGTTCTGAGTTTCCTTACCTTTTAAAGTTTCAATCACTATACAAAAGATAATACACTTTTGGGATAGTCTTTATCAACTTCAAAATTTTTAAAATGTACTTGGGTACCTTTCAGTTATGCTTGTCTGCTTTGAGGAAGGAGCTGAGAGAGCTCACAAGAAAGCCCTGCTGTGGGGCACCTGGGTGGCTCAGTGTGTTAAGCGTCTGCCTTCGGCTCAGGTCATGATCCCAGAGCCCTGGGATCGAGCCCCGCAGCGGGCTCCCAGGGAGCCTGCTTCTCCCTCTCCCTTTGCCTGCCGCTCTGCCTACTTGTGCTTGTTCTCTCTCTATTAAAATCTTAAAAAGAAAAAGAAAACCCTGCTGTAAGAATAGGAGACTGGCAGGACACCTGGGTGGCTCAGTTGGTTAAGTGGCTGCCTTTGGCTCAGGTCATGATCCCAGGGTCCTGGGATCGAGCCCCACATTGGGCTCCCTGCTCAGCGAGGAGTCTGCTTCTCCCCCTGCCCCTCACCCAGCTCGTGCGTGCTCCCTCTCTCTCAAATAAATACAATCTTAAAAAAAAAAAAAAATAGGAGACTAGCAAGAGGGAGAAAGATAATTACAAAAGAATAAGATAATGGCTTTCTTTGAACAGAAAGCTTGGCACCCAGCCTTCTTGACAAAAAGGAAACCTAACAGACCTTGCTGAAATGTCAATATATATTTTTTTTTGCTACATTCTAAAATTGGGCTATTGCAATAAGAAACATCATTTCCTCCACTTAGCAGACTATATATAATTGTATGTCAGGATTTTAATAACTTTCATGCATGTTGATGTATTTGAATGGTGACTATTAGTCAAAATCAATCTGTCTTGAACCAATAAACAAGGAGTGAGACCATGGGGAACATCTCTTTGCCTAAAAGCACAGGCATCTGGTCACCACAAAACAAAGTTTAGGGAAGAAGATTCAGGAATTCACCATGAGGGCCTCCTATTTTACCGATTTAACAATCTTTGCCTCAAACCCTTACCAGCCATTGACATTTAAATGATCTTCTTCTCCCTAGTGCTACCAGTGGCTGAAGGAAAGAATTGTAAGTGAAGAAGGCCGAAAACAGCAAAACAAACTAAAAGACCTTTCCCCAATTGCTGAGCGTCTGGGATGCACACTACCTCAGCTAGCTGTTGGTAAGAAA